AGAATCTGCTTGAAAAAAGACGTCCCAGATGCTATAATCTCGGACATATGGTTATTCCGGCGCCGAGTATAAATAAACTTAAAACACACACACTTTTGTTGAAAACAAAACAACAACACATTTTCTGTAGTAATTTTTCAAGTGTTGTAAAATGAATAAGAAATTCCTCTTATGCCGCCCATTATTTTTAGAACACAACCATAAAAGTTCTTTTTTTTTATTTTTCAAATAAACATTAATCACTTCAGCGCGCGCAAATATCGGTTTCAAATTAAAGTTTCGTAAGATATGTTAATGACTTCCCGATGCTCGACTGTAAGTAATTTGTATATGTATGCGGTTTTTTTTTGTTTTTTGTTTTTTTGTTTTTGTTTTTTAATTAAAGCTTCTTATTCTTTAATATTTTTTATGTATCTCATAATCTGTATCAGGTACGTATATTAACGTACCTGTCTGTATTGAAAATTTGAATTTTATTACACATGGACTATCAAATTATGATGTATGCCCTAGAATTGAATAAACTTTCTAATTACACAATACGGGGTCATACTGATCTTTGCGTCTTTCTCTGAAATAATTATTTCCTTGTTAAAACATATTTGACCACATATTTCTGTCAATTAACTGTTCACTTTACTTCCGATTTTGTTGTACGGAAACACATGTTTCTATTTGTGTTTTCTAATCAATTCGAATCTATAATCAGTTTAATGGGATCACCACCGGGTAAACGACTACTAGGTACTTTGGTCATGTTTTTTACCACAAATATTTGAATGTTTCTATTGGGATTAAAATGAGCATAGTTAACTAAACAACTGTTTGTATAAATTCCTGACCTGTCTAATTCTAATTATGAGATTAGTGAATACATGTATATAAGACTTTCACTACAAAATATTCCTAAACAAAAGAGCACATGTTTAAATTTATTCCTATACAAATAAAAGATCAGAGTAGGGATCTGTCAATTGCCAAAGATACTTTTATGTTAAAAGTTTGATTAATGAATTATGTAAGATGAAAATATAAGTATTGCTTTTTTTATTTTGCTAATGTAAAATGTAATATTGTGCTGGAATTTTGTCGGAGGTCCTTAGGGGTTTTGTAGTTAAATAGTTTTTTTTCGGCGATAATGGTTAAAGAATATAATGTTTTCAAACTATATGTTCATCACCATCAGTGAATTTTTAGTTAAATGTATGCAAAATATTTACTAAACAGCTATATGATTTAGCGGTTTATGAGCGTTTTCCGCGTACAGCCTCCTGGGGTGTACAAATAAGTTAGTTTTCCTTAGTTATCACGCAAGCATGATCCATGTCTCTGATGTAAGCGACAGTTTACAATTATTTGTCTTTAAAAAATATTAAGGACTATTAATAGTTTATAACAACAAAAGAACATGCATGATATTGAGAATACGGTGTTGCAACGTTCTAGTTAATGACCCGTCATAAACAGTTGGTCGCTGCGTAGTAATTGGAAAATTGTTATCAAAAATAATAAAGAATATTTGCCACTGAATTAAAGCATTTACTTATAAATTTTCATTTATGCTTTTTGTTAAAAAAATATTGAAAAAGTTATTATTTTGAAGGGTTTTCATACCAGAACTATTTATTACAGACGTACGTATGTATGCCTAAACCTGATTACCGCGGCAGTATGACGTCATGGAGTAGTGATTTAAACAAAAATCAAGACTTTTTCAGAGAAATATTATCTTTACAAATTGCAGATATGAAATTAAAGAATGAAAATATTTTCATATTGTAAATGTCTGTGATGAGTGATGAGTCAGCTTAGAAAAAATCAAGGTACTATTTTTTGACCTGATTACCGCGGCAGTATGACGTCACGGAGTAGTGATTTAAACAAAAATCAAGTCTTTTTCAGAGAATTATTATCTTTACAAATTGCAGATATGAAATTAAAGAATGAAAATATTTTCATATTGTAAATGTCTGTGATGAGTGATGAGTCAGCTTAGAAAAAATCAAGGTACTATTTTTTGACCTGATTACCGCGGCAGTAAGATTTGACAGACAGTTATTAACATTGGGTCGGCATAGCCTCCCCAAAAATGTTATAGATGTCTCTTATAACTCATCCTACAAGTGGCAACTCACCTCTTATACAATTGTTTACACTTCTTTTTGAGCGTGTGTGATAGTCGTATGAGCAATAGTGAAATTGAATTTTAAGATATACTATGCTCAAACTTACGGTAGCACAAAGGTGACATGTGTGTGTTTTTATTTATCTCGTGCGCACGAGATACTGTGTCGTGGCCACGGGTTACTAAGTCGTGCGCACGAGATAGTTAAGTCGTGGGAACGAGATACTATGTTCTGGCCACGAGTTATACTTAGTCGTGGCAACGAGAAAATTAAGTCGTGGGAACGAGATAACTAAGTCGTGGCCACGAGTTACTAAGTCGTGGCCACGAGATAAATAAGTCGTTGGAACAAGTTACTATGTCGTGGCCACGAGAAAGTTTAGTCGTGGCCACGAGAAAGTTAAGTCATGCGAACGAGATAAATAACCAATCAAATTACACTATTTATATGAATTTTCCTAACAAGGATGCCCCTACTTCACCTGCCCGTAAAAGTGCCATTTATACAAGTTATTGATTGGTCAATGATTTAGCGTCATTGTGACCCTGATTTCTGACCAAATTGCCTAAAAATTATTAGGTGTCATCTACTGATTTTTTTTAGGTTATATAGACTACGGCTTATTCTTTCTAAATCATTCATCAGACAAGGAGTTTACATGAAGTGTCATGTTTATCTGACCCGTGACCTCAGACATCATTATAGGATATCTACTGTCCATGGGCAATATCCCTACCCAATAAAATAAACCAGGACTAAGTCCCTCTCAAGTTATGGTATAAACAATGTCAACAGGCCGTTGTACGTACAAAATGACCAATTCTATCATAGAATTGTCCCAACAAAGGGCTATAACTTAGTCAAAATTAATGTCTGATTTATGGGCCTTATGATCCTAAAGACATGTATCAAGTTCAAAATGAACACTTTAGTATATTCAAAGATTAATGTTGCTCGTAAATCTTTAAACATATATTTTCTAAGTTCAAAAAATCATGGTGTAATCTGATTGGTTAATTATCTCGTCTGCACGACTTAGTTATCTCGTTCCCACGACTTAAACGACTTAGTAACTCGTGGCCATGACATAGTATCTCATGGCTACGATATGGTATCTCGTTCCCACGACTTAACTATCTCTAAAGACAGGCACAACTTTACTTGACCCGTAATAAGGAAAGCAGATTCCTATACATTGTGTGTATGTGTTTTTATTTAAATAAAGCATATTTAGTAAGAATTTTATAGATTTCATTAAATTTCTGTGATAAAATATATTACTGAAACGCATATTACTGATGTGCATAGTATATTTTTAAGCACAAATGTATGTGAATGTGGTGGTGTGTGCGGGATGTCTGATCTATAATCAGACACACATATGCCCAACATTTGTAATTGACTATGCACATGTTACAAAAATAAACAACTTCCTTCTTTCCTTATTATACATGTTTATTTTAATGTGTTACATACTTATTCGCAACTATTAGTGACTCTGAGACATTTATTAAGTTAAAAGACCAATAAATGTTGCTTTTTAATGTCCAAGTCATTAGATAAAGACCTTCGCAGTACCTAGGCTTAACAACTGGATGACAGCATTATAATGTTTTGGTAAGGGAGTACACTATGACCAATATTGCATGAAACTGATACGTATATATTCCATCCCAGCTCATGAACGTATCTTTGGAATGAGCTGGGGGTAGGTGCAGCCCTTAAGCCATTGCCAGAATCCGCCACTGTACGTATAACTGCCCCATTGAATAACTCTTTACGAGCATATTTTTTCTATTAGACTGTATACATATATAAAATTATATTGCATAATCCTTTACTACTTGTATTTATATTCTTTCCACTGCAATTTATGTATTTAGCGCTTGGTACGTATTTATATATACATGTAAGCAGTATCTATACGGAAAATTCCGATGATAGGCGAATCGTGGAAAAAATCCGTTGATATCGATAACAGAGTTCTCGCCCCTTAACAGTTCACAAATCGCTAGACATTGTTTTAATTGTTTATCATAATGTAAGATGATTAAACATAATCCACAAAGCCTCAGACACCGAGCTTTATTAAGCATAAACACTGAATAATGGATATAAGCGAAAGCTAATAGTAATCACGCCATGCGAGCTATAAATCAAATAAGTCACATTTTAACAAAATCCACCAGGGAACAAAAAATAGTCAATTTTAAATGACTTCTACATAAAAGTAATACAAAAAAAAACTTAACCGTAAATGGTTTGTATAGAGCATGAAGAAAGGTAGCTTATACATAAAGGTATATGACGTTAACATTTTAGTATTCCAAATGGCTTGTTCCAGTTTAATAGTTATCACTCAATGAAAGAATGGGTCACTAAGAAAGTTTGAATGAAATAATGAAAAATGGAATCCAGCATAATGCAAAGTTTAAATAGCATAAAGCAAGATGGAATCAAGCATAATGCAAGTTCTAATGTCATGTAGCAAGATGGGATTAAGCATATTGCAAGTTCCAATGTCATCAATCAAGATGGAATTAAGCATAATGCAAGTTCCAATGTCATCAAGCAAGATAGAATAAATGCATTAATTCTGTTCCATACATCTGGGTGTTCTGCGTGTATGCCGATTCCGAGGTCAAAGTCCATTTTCTTCTTAACTTACTATCAAAGATGCTTTTATATAGAAAATTCCATCAGTAATAAGAATGTTGATAAACATGTGTATTTCTCATATTTCAACTAGAAGCAAAGATGGTTTAAATCGAAAATGCAAAAAATGCGAGTCTACAGAGAATTTAACAGTTTTGTTCTTCTTTAAAAAGTGCACAGCTTCTTCTTGTTGTTTTTTTTTCTTCGTATCTTTGAAATTTTACATCTTATTTTTGTTCTTAGATCATTTTACACTAAAAGTCGTCTGCTGAAAGATTAAAGCATGTTCAAGAGTAATACGTCAACCCAAGTGCACGTGCTGACCTTCCTGTCGAAGACACATTTTGACAAAGGTCGTTTTGCCGTAAGCGTTGAGGTCATTCGGAAGAAAACTGTCGACTCTGTTAAACAGAAGAGAAAAGCCGAAGAGCAGGTGAGTAAATTGCAAATTTTCTCACAGATAAACAAAATTTTCGGTTACATTTGTATTTGATTGTTAATATTTTCTTCATTTCCTTGGATTAAAAAGTGTGTTTTTTATAAGTCAAGGATAGCCTGATTTAAAAATAAACTTAATCTCTCATATTATTATTTGATGCCTGTTATATTTGGGAGGAACAAATAAGTTGTTTTTTTCTAACAATTTATAAGTGTTTGAGTGTCAGAGCTACCGCATTAACTTCAAAGAGAGACCTCCGATCTATGCAAGATAAGGTGTTCAGTATGTTTTGTTGCTCCCGCCCCCCACCAAAAAAAAAACAACAAACAAACAAACATGAATTTTGTGCTTGTGTATGTGAAACCTTCATAATATGTATCAAAATCACCATCATCTACATTATTTTATCATCCTCATTTGTTAATAATTATCATCATCATCATTAACAACAACAACAACAGACACAACTTCAATAGCATATAGCATCATCATCATCATCAACAACAACAACATCATCATCATCATTTTTTCGGTTATCATTCAGCATTAGTCAAGATCATAAAATGTCGGTTTATTACAGGTTTACATAGAGCATGAAAATGTGGTCGGAAGTTGCTCCCCAGAATTTGAGCTTCCACTGAAGGAAAAGAAGTGCGATATTCAGTTTTCAATATCCGGGGCTCTGAAACCACGGTCAGCGTTAGAACCGGTAATGATATGTTTACTTTCATTTACATCCGGTAGCCGTCTGCATAGATGGTTTCTTCATTGCGAAATGAATCGTTTCTTTCTCATTTTTTTCGCCCTGCATGTACGTAGAAATCGGTCAGTTTTTATTTGTAAAGAAGCTACACTGAAATCATATAGTCTGAAAACATAAACTTTGAGATTTCTTTACATAGATAATTTAACCACTTTAAATGGAAAAATCTGCAAAATAGAAAATCAATATAGTTAGTTCAATTCTTAGTAAAGCGCTGTAACGCTTTTCATTTTTATATCATTTTACGCAAAACAAAGGACTATTCTGATAAAAGGGGATGAGGGAATAGTCTGAAAATTTGCACAAAGTAAGTCATTCACACTAACACTAAACGCATACAAATCTCTGAAAAAAATTTCCAGTCCCGTCATGTCAAAAAATCTCAGTGGATTCCCCTTGTATACATTACGTTAACAAGCTACTCATTTTAACTAAAATGTAACTTAGTTATACATGTATATTATTAGTAATAACGATTTTTGACAGGTTAAATATGATCCTATATAAACGGTTGTTTATAAAGATAACCCGAGTCGCTAGGCGATGGTTATATTGCAAACAACCGTATATATACAGCCATAAAACTTGTCAGAAATATTTATAACGAATTTATAATACAGCAAGCATCATTTTTAGAGGAATAAAGTGAGTTTTTTTTATAAATCGACAGCAACTGTGTATATTATTAGTTATAAAGATTTTTTGACAGGTTAAATGGTCCTATATAAACGGTTGTTTTGAAAATATAACCTGAGCCGTGCATTATTTATAATGTTTTACAACATACGATCTTTCCAACAACAGGGGGAGGACATTCTGGAATATAGCGAGTCTTTGGGTGAATGCAGAAAACATTTATCACTGGTTCCCACATATGATGAAAAAAGCGAAGGGAATGCCACGATCAAGTTCAAGGTCGACGGTAGAGTGAAGCATACGGTGACTATACATGAAGTACCGACGATCAGAACGGTCAGCATTTCCAGTAACTCGAGTTCGTTTGCAGACGTTACAGGCGCAACGTCTAGGCAAACAAGCGTCTTTAGCAGCAGTGTGAGTTCGCAGTCGTTTGGAAGCTTGGATCCATCATTGAGTTACAGCAATGATGCCGATGATTCAGTTGATGCAGGCGAGTTCAATTTTAATTTGTGTCTGTCCTTTATGTGCCACTGCTACTACTATCGCTGTTACTATTTTGTGCTTGTTTTTGGTTGTTTATTTGTTGTTGTTGTTTTTTAATTTGTAGGGATGAAATAATTTGGTTTTGTTAATTCGCAACATGAGGATGTCCTCTAAAAATTATTTAACCTATTCGATCAGCGCTTCTTATGTAAAATTCTTCCAAGTATAATTCCCAATAACCGTAAATTTTACCATACCAAGACTATGGTATAATTTTCAGTTTTGAAGATCCGAGTAAGTGTTTCTGGACGGAGCTATAGGTTAAAACAGATACACCATTGGTGCGTTGACGATTTCTGGGTTTGCGTAAATTATACCATAATCACGTGACCTTTCTTATGCAACCTCCTTAGGTTAAGGCATAAGAAAGGTCACGTGATTGTGGTATAATTTACGCAAACCAACAAATCGTCAACGCAGCAATGGTATATCTATTACTTATCCTTGTAACAGCCCTTATAAACAGTGAAAACGAAGTATTTCCTCTTATGTACCATTTTTTATTTAATAATATTTTCTTGCTCTTTGTTTATTAATTTACTAAAAGATATATAACAAACGGTTATGTAATAGATACAGCATTGCTGCGTTGACGATTTCTGGGTTTGCGTAAATTATACCATAATCACGTGACCTTTCTTATGCCTTAACCTCACGAGACGAAGTCGAGTGAGGTTGCATTAGAAAGGTCACGTGATTATGGTATAATTTACGCAAACCCAGAAATCGTCAACGCACCAATGGTGTATCTGTTTTAATCTATAGATCCGCCCAAAAACACTCCTCCGATCTTCAAACCGAAAATTATACCATAGTCTGGGTATGGTATAATTTACGGTTATTGAAATTTATACTTGGAAGAATTTTACATAAGAAGCGCTGAAGAGCTATAGTTAATTTATGATGTTGTTTTGTTTTTGAACTTGTCGCTTTTTGGATACTTCTTTAAAAACCTTTGGATAAGAATGCATATTCTAATCTAATACATGTTCTCTCTCAATTTCTTGTTTATTTTTTCAGGTACTGTAAGGGAGCATAACAGTTCTTCCTCAGGTAAGTATCCAATTTAAATTTCAAGAATATAAGTTCTAAATGTCATGGTCTTGATTTAGCCATTCTATTATATCATAAACATAAAACAAGTTGTCAGATATTGTTCGTATCGTACAACCAAACGCGTGCTCAATTTTGTTTGCTTGCTACAAGGTTCCCACGGGCTCGGGAAGGTCCTGGAAAGTCCCGGAATTTTAAAATGTCCGTTCCCGGCCTTGAAATGTGCTAAAATAAATTCCACTAAAATCGGGAGCGGTCCGGGGAAAAGCCCGGTAATTTGGCGAAAGTCTAAGCCGTTACCGTTGGTAAGTTTAGTGTTTTTTTTCTAGTAGTGATAACTGCTAATTAAATGGCAGCAGCAGTTAATCTGCCTTTGACGGTCCTGATGATTTTTGTGTCGCCTTGAAGAAGGCGACATATAGGGGTTACTTTTGTCGGCGGCGTCGTTGTCGGCGTCGTTGTCGGTGTCGTCGTCGGTGTCGGCGTCGGCGTCCCCTAAAGCTTGTCCGGAGCATAAGTCAGTCATTATAAGTCGGATTGACTTCAAACTTGGTATGCATGCTTCTCATAATGACCCGAAGTGCAGTGCACAAGAACCAGTACTCTGTACTCCTTATTTTTTGAGTTATTGCCCTTTGTTTATTTTTATACTTTATTTTTGTCCAGGCCATTTCTCCTTAAGTATAAAATCTGTGGACTTGAAACTTCATAAGATGATAGATCTCATTAAGAAGAAGTGCAGTGCACAATAACTGGTACTCTGCATTTCTTATTTTTTGAGTTATTGCCCTTTGTTAATTTTCATACTTTATTTTTGTCCAGGCCATTTCTCCTAAAGTATAAAAGCTATTAACTTGAAACTTCATAGGATGATAGATCTCATTAAGAAGAAGTGCAGTGCACAAGAACTGGTACTCTGCATTTATTATTTTTTGAGTTATTGCCCTTTGTTAATTTTCATACTTTATTTTTGTCCAGGCCTTTTCTCCTAAAGTATAAAAGCTATGGACATGAAACTTCATAGGGTGATAGATCTCATTAAGAAGAAGTGCAGTGCTCAAGAACTGGTACTCTGCATTTCTTATTTTTTGAGTTATTGCCCTTTGTTAGTTTTCATACTTTATTTTTGTCCAGGCCATTTCTCATAGATTATAAAAGCTTTAGACTTGAAACTTATTAGGATGATAGATCTTTTGATAAGAAGTGCAGTGCACAGAAACTGCTGATCTGCATTTCTTATTTTTTGAGTTATTGCCCTTTGTTAATTTTCATACTTTATTTTTGTCCAGGCCATTTCTCATAAATTATAAAAGCTTTAGACTTGAAACTTAATAGGATGACAGATTTTATTGATAAGAAGTGCAGTGCACAGAAACTGCTGATCTTCATTTCTTATTTTTTGAGTTATTGCCCTTTGTTGATTTTCAAATTTCATTTTTGTCTTTGCCATTTCTCTTAAACTATATTGTTCACAAGGCGACACATCCGACTCGCGGAGTTCTAGTTAGTAATTACACCTCCTACAAATCAAGACATCCGGAACTAAAAGATCATATTGAGTTGGATATAGCTAGAAGAATTTAATGCATATGTTTTTCGTATGATATTTTTAAGGTGACGGGCATTGTAGTGGTAGTGTTGAAGCCGATAGGATACCAGACGACTCTCTTGACCGATATCCACCACTGAACCAAGCTATGGGTAAAGATAGTATTGAACTTCTTTTTTTCATTTTACACCTCTTAAACCCTAATTAGAAATCTTACTTACTTGGTCCATGCGATTATGTGACAGACGATAGTTTGTTGGAGGTTTTCGGTTTTATCAGACGATGTATGACGTATGAGAAAATGGACTATTTTTTTCTAAATACATTAAAAAAATTCTGGAAAATGTCAAACATGTACGTAATGGACCAAAACTGTTTAACAATAACTATCAGAATGTTCTTTTTTTATATTAGCATCTATTTGAATTATCGGATTGTTTTAATTATTAAACATTTATATAAATGAAGTTGAAAAAATTCCCCCCCCGGGCCACAGCAAAAGAAAGATGTCATGTATAATTTTTCATTAATTTTGACATTTTTATAATGCTTTGTCTTAAGAGACCGTTTCAGTAAGTGACCGTTTTTGGTGTTTCCCTTGCGCGGTCACTGAATACAAATTTGACGGTACATGTACGTCGTATGTTGCATTTAGATTTAGCTTGTTTATTTATACAGGTAATTTGGTGTTAAATAACCCTCGCCATCCCGGTCCTAATGTTGTACCTCCAGTCAATCCAGCTGGCCCTCAAGCTGGTCAGTTTGTACACCTAGGTGTAAATTATGTGCGTCCACAAGTTGGCCCTCAAGATGGTCCTCAAGCTGTACCTCCAAAGGGTCCTCAAGTTGTACCTCCAGCAGGTGGCCAAAATATTGAATCAGGTATAATCTTCTTTTTGTATATAAAACGTTTGTATCCTAGCGTTTCATTGGATAATCGTAACGTTTATATGAACTATGAACATTATGAAGTTATTTCATTTTTTTTTCTGACAAATAAAGATAGTTTGCTGAATTATGAATTCGTTCTAAAGATTCTTGAAGGGTCTTGTGGCCATATATAAGAATTTAGATTGATATTACAATGTTTTGAACGCATATTTCATCTACCATTTGGTTGAGAATGAATTTGTATCAGTTCAAGATGTGTAGCTAAAATGCCCCCTATACTTACGTGAATTAGTATACGGAAGGGCACCTGCTTAGTAACACTGACCCCTGACGGTGTGATGCATAGGATCCTTTTAAAACGAAGTCAACATGTGGCGATTCGAGGTCACATACCTTAGGTGTCGATTCATCGGACTTATGACACTTTGGAGTGGGTTTTCAAATTACAAAAAAATAAATGTAGTATTATTGAATTGGTTGTTCTTATAAATCGACAACAGCCGTGAAAATGTAACCCGAGTCGTGCAGTAATAAAATGGATGTTGACGTCATTTCCTGTAAACAAAGTATACCTGATGAAGACTTTTGAGTCGAAACGTTGTATATTTTTCAAATAAAATAATTACATTTTAAATTGAAACTGGAGTTGATTTCTATATTCAAACTTACATTGAATTGTTAAATAGATTTTTACTTTTGAAATATTGATGTGTGCTTGTTGAAAAAAGCGCTATACTTTTAGTCGATTTAAATTCTTTTTCCTTTCTTTTTCTGTAACAGCATACGACAAAATTCTTTGTAATGAATCTTTGAGTACCTTAGCGTGGGCCCTGCCACCTGCTGATGCTAACCGGTTACTTATTGGACTTCGGGTACCAAACCCTGTTCTTCAAACAAATAAGTCGAATCACCCCGGGGACGTTGTATCTGCTAACTTCCAATCCTTCCTCCACTGGAGATCTCAAAGAAGATCACAGAAACAAGAACACGAGGCCAGTAACCAAAACATGTATGAAGACCTTCTCATGGAACTTCATGATATGGGTAGGAAGGACCTTAAAGTCGTTCTGAAAAGAACTCTTGAAGCAAACAAAAAACTAGAAAAGAACGATTTTTCGCACTTATAATTCCATATAGCTTTGTTATATAGCATGTTTGTAACGCCGCTTTTCATTGGACAATTGTGGCGTTAATATCATTCATGCAGTATAAGCGATTCCATAGAAACTTTTGACAGGCTATATGACCGTGTATAAACGGCTGTTTCCGAGTAGCTCGGGCCATATAGGTTTACAAGTCGGTCATATAACCTGTCAAATTCATTAGCTTTAATAATATAAGATATATATTTTTCTTAGATTTTTACATTTTCCTGAGACCTGCTTGAATGGATTGGCTTTTTAAAATCTAAAATCGCCCCTAAACGTCACTATTGCTGACCCGAGTTGTTATTTAATTAATTGTAACATCAAATGAGCCGCGTAACGACAAAACCAACGTAGTGCGTTTGCGAGCAGTCTGATCAGGATCCATGCTGTTCGCTATCAGTTTCTCTACTTGTAATAGAGTTGGTAAGCGAACAAAATGTATCCTACTCAGACTGCGCGGATGCGTAGGCTGGTCTGGATCCATGCTGGTCGCAAACCCATCATGTTGGTTTTGTCGTGACGCGGCTCAAATGATCTTTATTTACGAAATCATTTAACAAGTTTACAAATAAAAATCATCAAATTTATACTTCATTGGCCGGGGTTATGCACATTTCTGATCAGGTTTATCAGATTATAATATCACTATGACTTTAAAACATTCTGTGTTAAAAAACCACCTGTCTGCACTGTTCGTCTACATGCATATTTTGAAATTGTCCGGAATGAAAAATGGAACGGTCCGTTAAGATATTTGGCATAATATGTGTTAATAACATGTTTTGTTCTCTGCAACAGATGTAATTCTTTTTCACAAATTCTAAAGTAAGTTTATTAGAGGTGTCAAAACTTTAGCCTTCGATGCTAGTTGGAGATTAAATACTTGTCCGGTTTATTCATAATTGCATACGCCAAAAAGATTTTTATTTAGTTCCTTATACTGCGGCTTGAATGTCGTCCTTGGGGGACCTTAGTTATTTTTTGGCTCATTAACTACTGAAACTGAAAGTGATTAGCCTTTGCCAACAGTATAGAGCCGGGTCAGTCTGTACGTCCGTGAGGTGTGTGGCTGACCGGCGCTACGCTGTTGGTAGCTGCATTTTTATATTGAAATTCCATAAAATTGATTTGACTGTTCCAAATTCAAAGCAGGGCAAATAATATATTTTAAGCAGGGTAAATACATTAATAGCAGGGCAAATACATTCAAAGCAGGCCAAATACTTTCAAAGCAGGGCAAATGCATTCAAAGTAGGGAAAATACATTCAAAGCAAGGCAAATACATTCAAGCAGGGCAAATTCATTGAAAGCAGGGCGAATACATTAAAGCAGGACAAATACATTCATAACAGGGCAATTACTTTCAAAGCAGGGTAAATGCGTTGCACAAAGTCAGTAGGCCATGGTTAGCATCATTTCACACTAGAAGTATAAAATTATATATATGATCGAAATGTTTGGGAGAATTTTATGTTTGCCATTGTCATTAGTAAATCTACATTATATTTTTATTGTAACTTATACATTGTACATGTTATAATGTACATTAACATGAAGATGCATTATTGCTTTAACATTAAAAACTTTTTTTATGTCTTTATATAATCCTATACAGAACCTCTATTTTGTTTCTCTTTAATGAATTTTTAATGATATATTTTAAATTTCATTTTATGACCTTCGATTTTTTTTCATTTTAACAGCATTGTTATTTAATGTGTTTCATGTATTATAATTATACTCTTTTCCGCACCTCCTTTTTTACTTCTTGTACATGTTGATGATGATTTCCGCGAGATGAGGTTGTACATATGTAAAATCTTATAGAGCAGACGAGAATTGTTTTTTCTTCTTCTTGACTTTCTGCACCGCTTAAAACTACATGTACATGGTAATTTATCAATCCATGGAGTTATGAAGATTATAAGCCTTATTGGTTAAATTTATCAAGAAATTAAGTTTAAATTGTTATCATAATATTCCTACAATGCCTTGCATATTTTAGAGTGTAAATTGTATGTAGGTAAGTCAAGAAGAATAAAAATAATGTAAGAAAATGTATATGTATGTTTTTATAAGGTATATGAGATCTATTAAAGAAACTGACAACAAATTGAAATTGATCTTATTGTTTTTCACATGACTTCAGACCACTTGCCCCTCACCGCTGTGGGTTCGAATCCCGACAGGGACTTTAATTGGATTCTTTCATGTTAGGAAGCTATACAGCTAGCTTACGGAACGTCGGAGTTCTACTCAGGTGCCCGTTCGTGCCTGAAATAATGCACGTAAGGGCACCTGAGGTCTTTCTTCACCAGTAAAGCTGGAACGTCGCCAAATGTCCTATACTGTGTCGGTGTGACGTAAAAAACCGGAAAGCAATTTGATTGAAATAACGCTACGCGTAATGAACTTTAGTCAGATTGTATCACAGACGGTCGGTGCGTGGTTCTTTAAATTTCATCCATACATACTATAAATACTTCATAAGAGTATATCTTAATGAGTAATATCAAAAAAAAGATCTATCTAAGTAATTCTGAAATTTTTACGTTCACTTTTATTAAATGAGAACAGAATAGTAAGCAACATAGGTATTTTTTATACCTAGAAAGGATGTCCAACAGCGACAGCGCCTAGGAATACGGATGGTACCCAATATGCGTCTGACATAAGCACTAACCTAGCTATAAATAGCTTAACTGCTGCATGCCTGCAGATGACCCAAAATATTTCAACAAAATTAAACTTGGAAAAACCATACTAAAACTTTGAGAAAAGTAAGCAAATTAAAGATTCAATTGATAATTTATATCTTATGTGCAATTAATGACTGTATTTTGTAGTATTTATCACCATATTTCTACTGCGTTACTAACGCAGTAGGTGCTATTTATGCCTATTTTGACCTCTTTTTGGTAATTTACGTGGATTTTAAGTGCTGATTGTAATGTGTCAAGTACTTTCTTTGTTCATTTCACAATATTTTACCTTTAAATACTTTTTCAAAATGTTCATGAAAATTAGGATGAAACTGGAGGCGTGCAGCTTTAAATACATGCCTATCCGACGCATTAAGTATGTCGAGTTTAAAGATGAACTGTATTTTACTAGAAATTATCTGATAAATTTGTTGATCTGGTACAAGCAACAATAACAAGACATGCAAATATCAAGAAAACAATTTTATCGTGACAATCACTGCTGTGTGATATCACGTACATAGATTGATTGCAAGAACTGGACCATAAAATATTCAACATCTAATCTGTACAGAAGTGATGCAGAGATTGTAATAAATTAATGATTATCTCGATAATCTAGATAAAATTTGAGTATGATGAACGTGACGTCACTGGACAATTATGACATGTCACGTTCTTAAAGATTACATCTATTACGGCCTGAAGGTAGTATTGTTGTATTGACCTCGCTTTAATGACGATTTTCACATGTTACACGTACGGATGTGCAGACTGGCCTGGCTCTACACTGATGGCAAAGGGGTAATTACTTTTGGTTAACATATCATTTTATCTCCTTTTCCTTTAATTGAAAATTACATGTATTCTATATATGATTTTTATTAAGTTTTCTTTTTTACTTCCTTTTTTGTATTATATTTTATAATACAGAAATACACCACAAAATGAAATATAGTTGTGATCGATGTGCTTTTTATAATATATGACTGATAATTTTCGATCATTTAATTAGCCTTGATTTGTTTCGATTTTATTAATACTTAATATACATAATATACATCAATTGGCATTTCTAAAATCTTGAATAAAATCGGTTATTCTGTTATTGAAATTCCTGTGAAATTAAGAAATATTTAGCACCAATCATTCTTCATTTCCCTTAAGTCTTCATTTTAATCATTGATCATTATACATGCGTCAGAATTGTGTTTACTTTGTTGTACGTATTAAGGTATGAACATGTATAGGTAAATTTAATCCCATTGTTGCATCCATGTTTATCCGATAAGTTCTTCAGTATAATAATAATTTTCTAAGCATGTTTAAACAAGAATTAATAGTTGACAAACAAAATTATTTACTGATTTTCAAATAAGCTTCGGCATCGATAGGAGACGGAACGCACAATGTCGGTTGCAGTTAATGGATCTATATGTTCGTACACTTACGAAGAAATTGACGAGCTAATAGGAAAAAATATAACTGAAGATGATATTTTGAAATGGCCATGTGAACTTGTATCATTTTGGATTGATTTACTTCCTTTTGTAACAGTTGTAAAATTCTTGCTATCATATGGTACATCAGTTATAGTTGCCGCCGGAGTATTTGGAAATATTGTGTCCTTATTTGTGTTGGTACAAAGTCAGATGCGAAAGAACCCACCGAATTTATATTTGACCGTTCTAGCCGTGTATGATTCCTGCACTCTCGTATTCAACTTCATGGTCGGTGTGCTTCGAGGGAATTTTGAGACGGTGAACCACGTGTGCCAAGACAGTGAGACTTTGTGTACCGTACATAGTGTAGTTGTGGAACTTTTTAATATTCTTTCAGTGTGGATAATAGTGGCGTTTACCGTAGAGCGATACGTCATGATAAGGTATTCTTTGAAAGTGAGACCTTCCAGAAGAAAGACTTGTTTTACCATCCTATTTCTTTCATTCGTCATATTTTTAATATCACTACACAAAATTGGTGTGTCGGGATTCGAGGGTGACTCTGTGTACGGATACAAAGCGTGTAAAACAAGGAGATTGATCTTTAAAGAAATCATCGCCGTTTATGTCGCATTAAATACTTGGCTACCGACAATGATTATTGCCCTGGTAAATGTTGGAATCATACTAGAACTGCGCATAAGTCGCAAATTGAACGATTCACTTCCTCAAAAAGTGTTATCTGAAGCAGACAACCGAACTACTAAACTACTACTTCTTGTCTCTACCCGATACCTGTTACTTGTCCTGCCTCTTGGCATCGTGCAAACCACGGAACTCATCTGGAACCAGATGTTTGCTGTAACACCAGACAGTCCTGAATACGTGAACTTTATGATAACAAAGCTAAGACTGAAATGGACGAGGGCTTTCTTCTTTTTCTTCTACCAATTCAATTTTGCAATTAATATAATTATATATGTGGCATCGCCGGTGGCAACGCAATTCCGGAGTCACTTGTGTAGGGTTTTCAGAATGAAGCAAAAGTTTGAAAGTTTTGAGTGGTCATGAATATAATTATACAAGTGTCTAAACAAGTGTCATTTATTATAAATTGTATATAACACAAATGAAGAGAACTGTAATCCAAAATATATAGCTTTTTTATTTAATTATTTCATAAAATCTACTTATCTTAATGCGTAATTCCAACTAATGTAGGTTATGGAAGATTATCAGGGCTATAGTTACCTAGCCTAAAATGCCTTATCTGAATGTTTACAGCCACCAGAAACTAAGCATTCATTAAATTTGGTTATATATTAATGCTGGTGCTGGTCGTGCACCTTTTTATTTATGGAGATCACGAGTAATTTATAATATTACTCTAATTAAACACTTAAATAATCAAACGCCTAATATTTGTAATTTCACAGAGTGTTTTCACTGGTGCTGCATATATTTATGAAGTTTCTCATTTTTTATTCATCACTTTTCATTCATTGCAAGAATAAACAGAGACGTCACGTGCACTTCATCGTTACATCATTTTATAGTAACATGTTAATATTCTCAATCTGATATTATTTTTTGTCTTTAGTAAAGTTTTGTAAAAATATTTTTTGTAGTAATGCAATGACAGTGCATAAATTAATGTGTAGTCAATGAATAAGAATAGAAAAATAAATCTAAATGTCATATATGTCATGGTTTTTTGTCAATTATCGATATACATATACATTTATGTTTTAAGTCATTAAGATCGATTGTTTATGGTGGTCATTTAACTCTTTTTTCAACGTAGCTGTATTGACACCGTTTTAAGGTAAAATTTAATAAATACGAAATACATGTGTACATATAAAAATTATAATTAAAATTGCAGTCAAAATTGGCTGTGAAAATATTCCAATATGAATAGAGTTATTCAAAGTTCATTTTTAAAGTTTACTGTACTTGAAAAAGTAAAAAGGATTTAATATTTAGTCAGGTTGAAAATATTTGTTTTAATCTCCGAGTAATTATTTTTACCTAAAGATCCGTGGATGTACTTAATTATTTTCAGTAATCGCCTCACTCTTAATTCATAGAACATAATTGCAATGAATATAGATTCATTTTCATTGATTATATTATTTAAAGTTATTTCTGGTCACTTATATTAATGAATTCTTACCGTCCTTTGTTTAACATTTTTCACGATTTGGTCTTAATTTGAAAGAAAACGTTATTTATATTCATATTTTAGTACTGTGTAACCTTAATAAGCTCTTTCCGCGAAAATAAATTCTGTTTGTACTTTTAGCCGGAAATGATGATTGAAGACCACTACACACCTTTTCTTCCTCAAAGGTGTCAAAATTAATCTGACGTCCTGTTAACCCGTCTATCTATTTCCCAATAAGAATCGTGTGGTGATCTGTAATCAAAACACCGGTGATTAAAGGTTGAAATTTATACAGATCTATTTATATTCGTGCTTTCTATGTATAGATATTTGTTTTTGTTATCTGTGTCATTAGATAAACGGACATAAGATGTCCAAACTTCTCACTGAAGACGAACTTCGAACGTGTACTGTTTCAAATTTAAGAGCTCAGTTGAAGAAAAAAAAGTTGGGTACGAATGGCAAAAAAGATGTGTTGGTAAGAGCTGACGTTGCCTGGAGTTTTATTTGTCATTTTTATTTTATTTGTTTTATCTGTATTATTGAATGCCTTTATTTTTTTAGATCTGCTTCTTGACCTGTACTTTGCTTGACACATTTTTACCTCGGTTGTTTGGTTTACTGAAAATGAAATGAGATATATGGCACCTGTCACCAAATGTAGAAAATTTTCACCTCCTTTGGCCCATGGACATTTAAGCCTGAACACCTTTTTTCCAGCTTAGAAAAAGTGATTTATAGTAGTAACACAATCGGTTAATCCTAGCATAAGGTCTTTAGTGTACCAATTTTTTATACTGTGACAAGACGTATACGGGTCCTTAGCAGTGTTTAGTAGGACCGGACGTATACGCTGAAAACAACGAAAGGGAATGTCCACCAATAATCATGCCAGGCAGGGCTCTCAGTAGGGTCAGAATTTCACGAGTCAAAGACTCTTTGGCCAAAATTTTCATGAGTCAAATCATTTTTTTCTAGTGTCATTTGACTACATGAATCATTTTTATGTTACAAAAATGACTGTATTGGAGGTCATTTTTGGAGATTCCAAAGTCTAAATTGACAGAAAAAATCCATAATTTTAAATGTCTATACCTCTCCCCCCCTCCTCCACCTAAAAAAACCCAAATAAAACAAAAAAAATGAATTGCTGTGAAAGAATAAAATAAGCAGCAGCTTTTCTGATTAAATGTATAAAATATAAAAAAATTATCTTTACAGGTATGCTATATCATATTAATTTTAAATACCAAAATGTACCTTGGAATATTTAATGGAAAAAGAAATAACAAATGCACAGGTACTCCAAGTAAATCAAAGACGTATTATAAAACTTTAAAAGCAATCAATAATTGACACCTCAAGTATGTAATTCTTATCAGTTGTGTAGAGCTATTTTTAGCACTGTCAAATTGCAGCCACTGAATTGTCGCGCTTCAGTGCACAGGGTATAAACAATGCAGTGTGTAAAGCATTTTATACACGGCTTATACTGCCTGTTGACATTTTTAATGAGTGAGATTTGAACATATGTAGGATTTGATAGGTAATTAGGGGTGGATTAAAGGTAATTATTATTGCATAGCTGAAAATCCCATGTGGCAAATTGACTCTTGAGCAGATTTTATCACGTGTCAATTTTGTGCATTTCCCGATTTTCACGAGTCAAAACCCGGATCCCCGTGTCAATCGAGAGCCCTGATGCCAGGAATATGGCATGTTCGTTTTCATTCAAGAATCATTCTATTGAGTAAAAAAAGTATAAAATCTATTAATAAGCCAAGTATCAACATCTAAAAAACCACACTGACAGGAACCCAAAATTCTATCCAAAACAAAAAGATAACAATTTAAAAAAAAAAATCCCATATATATACTATAAAAAACACAAGGAATGCAACATTTCCTCACCCGCCATACATTTACAAGGAATATTCATAAAAACGCCTGGAATTTACTTCCGAGCACACTTAATCAATAAAACATATTAAAATCTATCAGAAACACTGCTTACTCTTATCAAATATCCAACTTTTGAATTTATCACTGCTCTTCTCGGTGTTGCATCTAGAATTTCAAAATTATGGGGATTGTCCCCACTTAACTCAAAAATGTGGGGGATTTGAAAAAAATGTGGGGGACATGCATTTACCTAACAATATGACATACATAAAAGAATTCATTTATCTTACATTTACTGATTTAGGCATTTTTAACAGCTATCGTACGCTCAACAACAGAAATAAAAAATTGACAATTACTAAAATACACACCCAAGATAACCAAGTCAGCTTCTGCACGCGATTTAGTATATATTTTAGTCATAACCGCGAGTGAAAACAAACATGGCTGAAGAGTTCACAGGGCCAAAAAAACCTTCTTTGTAGAGGCCGAATATAGGCTGCTTCCCCAACCAAACTAGCCTCTTTTTTCCCCAGTTTGGTCCTCAAAATTCCCCAGTCTTTTGAAATTTCCTATAGAATTTAGAACAAAATTAAATGATGGTGTTGAATTAAGGTCTTTTACTGCCTTATTAGTTTTGCTTTTCTATATTTTAAAGAACTTGTTAAAAGTTTGTGTTAAATTTGAGACCCCTTTACCCAAAGTATGCCAAAATCACGCATAATTTCCCCCCAAAAAAGGCTGAGGCCCCTTCCCCAAAAAAGGCTGAGGCCCCTTCCCCAAAAATGGTGTTTTGACCCTGGTTCAAGCAGCTTGTTCAAGATACAATGAAGATAAGAAAGATCGTCAGATGCGCGACTTGGCACGCATTTAGTCAGGGCTAGCACTGGCAATTTTTTACTTTGAGCCAATTTTTCGCGGCGAAAATTGCCTGCCTATATTTTAATTTCAAATCAGGCAATGGTACGGCATGGGATATTTAGAAAAGCATTAACTAAGCTTAGAGGTCAGTAACTATAACATTTGCCAAAAGTTACATGTAGGCAGCAAGGTTCCCTTTAAATCTAAGTCTGTGGCATGGTAGTGACATAAGGTCAATCTATTTTTAGCTCGACTATTCGATAAGAATAAGTAGAGCTATTGCAGTCACCCGAGCGTCGGCGTCCGCGTCGGCGTCCGCGTAACCACTTATGTTAAAGTTTTTGTAATAGTTCAAATATTTTCAAAGTCCATAGACATATGGCTTTGAAACTTTGCACACTTGTTCACCATCATGACCCCAACCTGTAGACAGGAGGAGGTAACTCTATCAAGCATTTTGACAGAATTATGCCCCTTTTTCGACTTAGAATTTACGTTAAAGTTTTTGTAATAGTTCAAATATTTTCAAAGTCCATTGACATATGGCTTTGAAACTTTGCACACTTGTTCACCATCATGACCCCAACCTGTAAACAGGAGGAGGTAACTCTATCAAGCATTTTGACAGAATTATGCCCCTTTTTCGACTTAGAATTTACGTTAAAGTTTTTGTAATAGTTCAAATATTTTTTCAAAGTCCATTGACATATGGCTTTGAAACTTTGCACACTTGTTCACCATCATGACCCAACCTGGAAACAGGTGGAGGTAACTCTATCAAGCATTTTGACAGAATTATGCCCTTTTTTTCGACTTAGAATTTATGTTAAAGTTTTGTAATAGTTCAAATATTTTCAAAGTCCATTGACATATGGCTTTGAAACTTTGCACACTTGTTCACCATCATGACCCCAACCTGTAAACAGGAGGAGGTAACTCTATCAAGCATTTTGACAGAATTATGCCCCTTTTCGACTTAGAATTTACGTTAAAGTTTTTGTAATAGTTCAAATATTTTCAAAGTCCATTGACATATGGCTTTGAAACTTTGCACACTTGTTCACCATCATGACCCCAACCTGTAAACAGGAGGAGGTAACTCTATCAAGCATTTTTTTTACTATCAAGCACTAAGAATAGTCGAGCGTTGCTGTCCTACCGACAGCTCTTGTTTTTGTATACTATAAAAAAATACAAGGAAGGCAACACCATTTCCCCACATATTATATATACTATTATATATATGGGATTTTTATTTAAATCGTTCTTTTTTTGTTTTGGATAGAATTTTGGGATCTATAAAGACAGTAAATAACGGTATGACAGAGTTTATCGCTAGAACTGGCAATGGAACCAACAATGGGAGAAGAGCAGTGTTGCATCTAGGCCCACGCGATTTGCGCATATTATTTGCAGATCTCGCATTTTCAGTAAATATATCGTTATTTTTTTGTTTTGGATAGATTTTTGGGTTCCTGTGAAAGGACGAATTTCAAACATAAACTTTACCTAATAATTTCCAATGGATGAAAATATACATCATTTCGTCGCCATTTCACCATATTATTTGATCACTTGATTTTGCAATTGACGTATACGGGTTAGCCAAAATATACATTTAAATATGCTTAGATGGTTAGGTAATATATAGAGCATCGAAACACAAGGCTATCTGATTTGTAGAGTATATATCAGATTGCAGTGTTTTGATGTTCTTTCTCTTTTGTATCATAGACAACAATAAAAACCTTTTCCCTTTTGTCACAATTTGAAACCCGAGAATAAAAGTAACCAATGAACAAACACCTAAATATAATATTTCTATTGCTATTGCTTTCTCTGGCGTCACAATATGTATAAACCTCAGAAGAAATAAGCCAATCAGTGGGCATGCTCTAGAGTGCAGGTAATTAACTCCAGTTAACGCACTGTGCATGTATATGTATAAGGTTTGACTCTGATACATTTTCAACAGAAAGGTCTCCAAATAATGATACAAGAAAATAATACCATGTACTTTTTATGTCATACAAGGTCTAGTGTAAATCCTAAATTATGACCTGGTTGACATCAGCCGGTTTAATTGAAGTTGTAAGAAACATACTACATTCTGTACATGTAGGTCAAACATGAAAAAAATAGAGTTATAAAAAAGACATTAGAATTAGATCAGTTATTTTCAACTTTCAACTGTCTGACATCTACTACAGAAAACTGTTCACAGGGCCTTGTTATATTTAACAAACGTGAGAGTTACAAAGTTTTTATCACTTATATTACAGAGACTAGGACAAAAACTTTGCCACTAAGCAAGCTATGGAGAAAAGCCTCCTTTACTGGTGCAGACGATGCTGGTCAAGCCAAATATTGAATTGCAGGCTTGGACTATGTTGGCAATCTTATTTCATTAACTGACTGATAATATGCAATAGGGTCTGAGCCATATTTTCCCCCATTCTTCTGTTTGACACCTTTCCAGCTCTGTTATTCTTTCAGAGGTATATTTCTCTGGCCTTAAGGTGCCTTTGGGATGAAACTAAATATGCTTGATGAATAAGTTATTGGCTTTTTAAGTTGTCATCAGTGGCCTCTTCATAAGAGCTAATCTTTGCATGTAGCTGATTGATATGTTTGTTTTAACACCATGACAGCTTAAACTATGGATCCAGAATTGCTGTAAAGATGTAAACTTCACTATCCTCGCACTTCATGAGTTTTCTCAGGTCTCTGTGCTGATGCCTTCAGAGTGCTCTACATTTTAGTGTTATAAGTGCTTGAAATACTCTAAAGTTGATTCCTGAGTGCTTGTATAAGATGAATCGCAAGACTTGTTCTAATAGATGACTCTTTTTTGCAAGTTTTCAAATTACATTCCCATGTTTATTTCAAACATAGATTAAAAATGTACATGTATACGGAATGCCGTTAGGGCCATTGCCTATGAATGTGTTAAACCGAAAACGCGAAAGTACCATGATGAAAACGCGACAGTACAAAACTACGATGATGAAAACGCGATAAACTATCGTGTTTTCACCATCGTACTGTCGCGTTTTCACCATCGTAGTTTCGTGATTTCGCGTTTTCATCATCGTACTGTCGTGTTTTCATCAGCGTACTATAGCGTTTTCATCATCGCACTTTCATGTGGTCACCATCATAGTTTCGTGATTTCGTGTTTTCACCATCGTACTATCGACTATCGCGTTTCTGATTAACACATTCATAGGCGATGACCCTTACGGCATTCCGGAATGCCGTTAGGGCCATCGCCTATGAATGGTTTGATCTGAAACGCGATACTCGACAGTACGATAATGAAAACGCGAAATCACGAAACTACGATGGTGAAAACGCGACAGTACGATGGTGAAAACACGATAGTTTAACGCGTTTTCATCATCGTAGTATGGTACTGTCGCGTTTTCATCATGGTACTTTCGCGTTTTCATCATCGTAGTTTCGCGTTTTCACTATCGTAGTTTGGTGATTTCACGTTTTCACCATCGTACTATCGTTTCAGATCAACACATTCATAGGCAATGGCCCTAACGGCATTCCGTACATGTAAACTAGTGCATTGCATGATTTGAGACCTTTTTCTCTGACTGATAACTAAGATCATTCTAATTTCTTGATTATTAAATTGGTTACCAATCTAGCAACAACATCAGCATTGGTCATGTAAAGCCTAGTACCATACTAAAATGGTAGCCGAAAATTAAAGAGCAGAAACATCCAGGAGATGAACGAGACAAAGGAGGTGAAATATCGGGAAACCATCAGGGAAAGCGGGAACTTTGACATAGTGCTTAAGGTTACTCTTACAAAGTTGACGTTGCTTAGTGACATTTTTACTCCTTGGCACAACAACATCATAGCGTAATTGTTAAAAACTTAGTATGGCAAGATTTTATTGAGGAAAGATTGAGCACTAATGTAACTCTAAGATATACAAATGTAGTTGTTCACCAACCAAAGTGAAGAAAAGAATTTCCTTTTAATAAGATAGTTTATCTGTCACATATTGAAAGTAATGTTTTAAATAAATTTATATCACATCACTTTCAAGCAATCTGTCCACCGCTTACATCAGACACTTTGGATAAAACTGACCTTGTTGGTCTCTCAGTGTGGGGACATACAGAAGTTAATGATTTGATTCACTTATCCTGCAATCCTGGCACTGCCTGCGAAGAGGTTGCAATTGACTGGTTCAATCATTAGATAAAATTGATGACAGTTTTAGTTTTGCCCACTTACAATGATTCTCACTTTTCTTAGGTAGAAAAATTCTCCTTAGTAGTGTACCCTTCCCATGGTACCAAATAAGAATTTTAGTCCAAGGGAAAATTGCAGACATCATGACAACAAGATAAAGGAGAGAAACAAAAAAGAAAACCATTTTATACAATAATACCTTGAAATATGAATATATCACTATTGGCATATACCATATTGTTTCCAATTAACGCCCCCTCCTCTAATTTGTGCCCCCTTCCACACCACCACATTTTGTAGGAAATTTTTTTTTACCTTATAGATTTGTAATCCATAATAAAAGAGCAATCCAAAAAATCCCAATATTTTTATTTATAAATAACAATGACACTCCAGGAATGTGAAATCATTAAAAAAAATTATAATATTGTATAATATATTAGATAACAATGAATAATAAATTTTATAGTTTAATTATATCTTTAATAAACTTATTTTAAAGCTCATATAGTTGTAATCAGCACCTCCCCCACCATGGCATTGGAGACCATACATTATAATCACTGTCACACCATAAATAAGTGATTTTACTTTGCTTGTACATGCATTATTTCTGAACATTTGAGGTCAAGAACAAGATCTTATTCCATCTAAGTGAGTTAAACTTAAAAGCCATATAAAATGTTGTTAATAATGAGATTTACTTAAAACCTAACTACCAAGAACAAGACACTGGGTTATTTTAAGGGAAGACTTTTATCAAAAATATAATTATATAAAATTATTTATACAGAAAAGACATAAAACTGATACCCCTTTCTGGGCCCCTTGTGTTGATTTGTTTTATACCATATGGTGTTCTTTTCTTATATAGATTGTATTGACTTTATTACATATACTACTAACCTTTGAACATACATGTCAAGTGTGGTAGATTTTACACATGAGTGTCAATATATATTTATAAATATCATATGTTCAACTCATATGTCAAAACTGATACAACTTTAAACTAGCTTGATTTAGCTTTATAGGGAAAAACAACATAAATCATGCCTGTTGAAAGTTGGATAATGTATTGTGTGGGGACTGAAAAGTTTGTAATTTTATGTTTTTACCATTCATCATTGTTATATCGATGATTTTAAATAAGTTCATATTTTTCTCTAGGCAAATAGAATGCATTTATGCATGAAGTTAATATCTGATATATTTTACATATGTATTTATGCTCGTTAAAAAGTGGTATACATCATTGTACTGTGCTTTGCATATATATTATTTAATATGAGTTAACAGTTGTTTTACACTCAAAACCCTCAATATGTTATGTGCATGGGTTTGCTTTTTGTTTGTTTATTTTTGCTTTTGTTTTTCAGTCATTGTGGGAAAAGAGTGAAATAAGTTGTAATTTTGAAAGAAAATGACTTGAATTTGACAATGTTTTTGGAGATATATAGGAATTTCTAGGGCGTGGGTACAAACAATGTGCTCCCCCTCTAAAACTTTCTAAGGAAGGGGGAAAATACTGGTTTTTTTTGGATATAACTTGTAAAATATTTTGGATTTGGAATGAGGCTTTATATTGGTCCCTGGTGATAAGGGTGGAAATGCCATGCACTATTTTGAGATAATGCCTGTACATATAATATATGTATAGCAATTTTGCTAATATACAGCAGACGCTTTATATAATGGTATATGTACCGTAAAATTCCTACTTACTGCTCCTCACCAAATAAAGCCCCCAAAGGTTTTTTACTCACCAGTGCTGAACTCAAATGTAAATCAATAATTTTATTCAAATCCTTCAGAATCCATTTTATTTAATTGTAAACACAAAAAATGTATCATGTAAACTTTAAAACTTTTAAAAATTATTACCAAAACTTGTTTAACACCAAACATATTTACAATGATATTTGGATTTAGGAAAAACTGTGTTTTAATAAATGCCCTCAATTTGAAAAATGTAAGGCTTCTGTGGTGGGTAGGCTTTTTAATGGGAATTTTACGGTATTTTATTTTGTTTTGCCCCTTAATGTAATAAAAAAATTTTTAAATTGATCTCCAAGGGGCTTTCCAAAAAAATAAACTGTGAAAAAAGTATATTAAATTGAAAAATTCTTAATTTTTTACAAAAAAATTCAGTTTAATATTAACAAAAATAATTGAATTTCACATTTTCACCAATTTTTCTTTCAATTTCTATTTTTTTTTAGTTTGAATTTTTAAGTCCCAAAAGGGCTTTTTAGATTTTTTTTTTGCAAAATTTATACAACTAAATGTTTAACTTTTAAAATTTTTTTAAAAATTTTCAAACTATAATGCCGCAATCTAAAAAAAGATTTTTTTTGGTTTTCACATGTACTTTCATAAGGAGGACTTTAATCGGGTTTGGAGAAGGCCTTTTTTAATTTAGTTTTTTTTTCATTTATAACGGAATTAAAATATAGCTATATAATTAAGGAAAATTTTGACAACATTTTTATAAATTTTTTATTCCAAAATTTTTTGGTGGGGGGGTTTGATGAAAAATATTTTTTTCGGTATTAAATTCTTATGCAGTAGAAAATCACGAAAAATTTCCATTTAATCTTAAAAATTGTATAATTTTTTTTAAATTTTTGCAAAAAAAGTTTGATTTTTTTGAAATCTCAAATTTTTTCTTATAAACGGGAACAAAGAGAACTTTTTGTTTTTTTTTTCTCAATTTTTTAATGAATTTTTCCTTTTTTCTTATATAAAAAGAAAATTGTACTGGTTTTTAAGCAACTTTTTTTTTTAATTTAATTCAATGGCAGTTTTTCAATTTTTTTTCTTGAACTTTTCAATAGCTAACTATTAAAAAACTCCCTTTAACTTTGAAAACTGCCATAATTTTAAAATTACTTTTTTATCAGTTATAAGAATGGAATTATTCTTACTTTCACTGTGATTAGATGCTGGCTCTACATTATGGTTAAATTTTGCAGTATTTATAATTCATCACTGTGTTTAATTGATATTTTTATATTTTGATGATAATTATATGGGTTTTTCATGATTTAGGTTAGACGATTACTTGACTCTCAGAAGAAAATGACCAAATCAGGTAAAACGCCATTAGCTGAGTATCTAAAACAACGTAAATCAGAATCTGAAGATGCAAATGGAAGTGTGAATAAAGTGATAGAAAAAAGGCAAAGAGAAATGGAACGACGGCTACGAGAGAAAATCGTCCTGTGGCGATCACCCGTCACAACCTTGAAATATTTCATTCTAGAAGCCAGTACACTTTTCACATTACTCTGTGCAAGGTATGTCCTTCATTTATGTGTGCAATGTATTTCTTGTATTATTAGTGCATGATTTCTCCTTGAATAATTTGTGCCACAAATATTGTTGAATAATATGTGCCACATATATCCTTGAATAATTTGTGCCACATATCCTTGAATTATTTGTGCCACAAATATTGTTGAATAATTTGTGCCACATATGTCCTTGAATTATTTGTGCCACATATATCCTTGAATTATTTGGCCACATATATACTTGAATAACTTGTGCCACATATCCTTGAATTATTTGTGCCACAAATATTGTTGAATAATTTGTGCCACATATGTCCTTGAATTATTTATGCCACATATATCCTTGAATTATTTGGCCACATATATACTTGAATAATTTGTGCCACATATCCTTGAATTAATTTTGCCACAATTATTGTTGTCAAATAATTTGTGCCACATATATCTTTGAGTTATGTGTGTCACATATATCCTTGAATAATTTGTGCCACATATCCTTGAATTATTTGTGCCACATATATCCTTGTATTATTTGGCCACATATATACTTGAATTGTTTGTGCCACATGTATCTTTGAATAATTTGTGCCACATATATCCTTGAATTATTTATGCATATATTTTCTTACAGAGTCAATAACAAATTAGTTTTAGTTGATTGCTTTACTTAGATGCTTCTGTTATGACTGCTGTGTCTGCTATGGGCCTGAAATTTGCAGTTTTGGCAAACTATGCTACAATTTTTGTTGCTGTGATTTTTAGCTTGTTTTCAAGAAAGAGATGAGCTATTATGATCGCTGCATTGTCCTCATTGAGCAAAACATGTAAATTAAATGTAGCCCATTCACTTGAACATTTTTGCTAATGTGGACAAAGCAGAACATTCTGTACAAGCAGCATTTCTTAGTGATAACTAATAGCCCTTTTTGGTCTGGAAAATTATCATACGTTTGTATAATTACCAATTATCTTGAGCATTAACAATGTAAGCATAATGACACTCTTGAATTTGATATTTTTTAGTTGTTGTCCTTAACAGACGAGCATTTACACCACATAATGTAGTAATGTTCTTTTGTATGTTTTACCTTTTAATAAATGTTTTTGGACTATTTTCAGGTTATATGGAAGAAAAAAATCTGTGATGCTTGTACTCAGTTTTATTACTTTTCTTGTCCTTGTGTATTATATAGAAGGAGCACATCAAAAAGTAAGTAAACATTTCAAATACATGTATTACATCTATTAAGTGATACATACTTAAAGTTCTTAATGATAATCTTGCTTGAAAATCATTTCATTGTTGCATTGTGGAATTCCAAAATACTGATTACGTTTCATTTGTGCATCTCGCAATTTCAAAAATTTTCTGTGGCCGAGTGGCTAGATTTAAACACTTGGTCCAGTCTGATTGCTTACAGAAGGTTGGTGGTTTTACTCATGTGTCAGCTCAAACCTAAGATAATGCACAAAAGAGCACCTGACACCTATTACTTCATGAGCATTTTGTGAAAAATGGCTGTTTTCATTGAAAAACCTCCTGTTAAGTTCAAATTGCTATGAAATTACTATTTTGCTTTGATTTTCCATCAAAACTGATTTCAAAGTGCTCCAACTTTTCAATGGATTGAGATAAAGTCAAAGGCTTTTCAGCGTTGGTTACAGATTACCTTCAAGTTGACCTGAGGCCATTTTTAGCCTCTTACATATCCAAAATTTTCTTGGAGATGAGCTTTTATAAGAAAAAATAGATACCCTACCACATACAGGGTAAGAACTGTTTTCACCAGAGGATAAATTGATTTAAAACTGTTACAGAGATCCTGGAAAAAAAAAACATCACCCAGTAGTTCTTCTGACCTTGATATTTATTTTCCGTGGCCGAGTGGTTAAGGTCGTTGACTTCAAACCACTTGCCCCTCACCGCTGTGGGTTCGAATCCCGACAGGGACTTTGGATTCTGTCATGTGAGGAAGCTATCCAGCTAGCTTACGGAACGTCGGTGGTTCTACTCAGGTGCCCGTTCGTGCCTGAAATAATGCACGGAAGAGCACCTGAGGTCTTCCTCCACCAGTAAAGCTGGAATGTCGCGATATGACCTATACTGTGTCGATGTGACCTAAAACCCAAAACAAAAACAAAAAACAATATTTATTTGGAAATGAAATAGGATACAAGATCTTTTACTGTTCCTATTTTGTAATCTGTGTTTACAAGGTATTTTTAGAAATTAAGATTTTGTTTTGTTTGCTTTAGACTGTAGCAAGTATGGAGAAAACATTCCTGTGGTGTGCGTATTGGGTTGGACTCGGAATATTGTCCTCGGTCGGTCTAGGGACAGGTCTACATACTTTCCTGTTATATCTGGTAAGTTTTTTTGTTAAAGATTGTCTCTTAAGTTCTTTATGATATTGGAAATAACTCACTAAATATGTGCATGGGTTTTTCCTTGTTTTGAATATAGAAAAGTTCTTTTGAAGTTTTAGGGATTTCAATATCAAAATACAAAAATTTAGCTAGCAACATGGTCATTCGGCATGGATGTGCAGGCTGGTCTGGTTTCTACACTGTTGGCATAGGCTAATCAGTTTTGTTTTCCAGCATGTTAACGATCAATGAGGAATGCATCACAACATTTTCATGCAATATATTTTAAGTTTTACTCTTTTAATATGAATGTATGCTATCCACTTATTCATTAAGCTTGCAAAATGTGGTAGTTTTACTTTGGTGCTTGTTCACATCTGAAACTATGCACCTGAGGGCTTTCTCCACTCCTCCACCATAATTCAACGAATAGTTGTGATATCATATTAGCCATTGGATTGACTAATCAGTTTATTATAGGATTTGTGTGCAATTTCATACTCGTTTTTCACTGACAATATTCTCTGGGAATGATCATATATGTCTACAGGTA